GGGGAGCTCGGTGGGCGGCCTCCCGCCCGGCGCTTCCCCCCGGGCGGTCTCCACCTGCCCGCGGGGGGAGCGGTCCCGGCCCCACCGGCCCTCGCTCGGTGCCCGGCGGGGCAGTGGCTCCGGGTCCCGGGGTGCACCCCGGCGGGGAGGCGGGCTCCTCTCCCTAAGGACAAGGTCAAGGAGGAAGGGTCAATGGCGAGTTGTCTTGGCGGTGGAAGGCGACCGTCCGCGGCAGCACACGCTTTGCCGGGGGCCTTGATTGATGTGAAAGTGCCATTTTGGGGGGGGAGGCACCCAGCCGCCGAGAAAGACGCGAGGGCTTCGCTTTTCCTGCAAAGGGCGAGGGAGCGAGGACGGCACAGGACGGAGGTGGGGTTGCCACTCCGCCTAAGGGTGTCTTAAAACTGCCCTAATGGCCGGATTGCTTTAAGTTTCAGGGACCCTCGGGAGGCTGAGGTCCGCCGAAGCGAACCCTCCGAGAGGTAAGGCGCAAGGTCACGGCTCCCCCCGAGAAGCCCCCGTCCCCTCTCGGCGGCCGAGGCGACCCGCTCGTCTGTTTTCTGCGTGACCGCTACGGGAAAGCGAATTTGAATGTAAACACGCGTGAGGCGGCAGCCCGGGGAGGTGCGTTAGCGAGGGAACCTGCCCGGCGGTCACGCCGGCGCCTCCCGCGCCGCTCTGCGGGGAAACCCGCCGCGGCCAGCCGGGCAGGGGCGGCAGGCGGCCGGGGCCTGACTTCCAGAGACACGACCCGTTCTACTGGGATGAACCCGCAACCCGGGCAGCCGGAGGAAGCCGGGGTGACTTCTGCCCCCGGCTCTCCTTCCGACTGCGGTTGCTTCTCGCTTCGCCATGACGTTCTCCCGTAGCGATTCCCACACTTGTTTGTGGAAATACGAGGGTGACAGGGAACGGACCGCCTGCACACGGAGCAGGGGAAGCAGCTTTGCTCAAATTATCAGCTGACCCTCACTCACGCTCCCACTAAAGGGGGGGAAAAAGCGTGTAATTTTGAAGGGCCTCACTACGGTAATTCTCGGCCAGAAGTAAGAGTGCTAACGGTTTTGTAAACAAAAATACGAAAGATAATTTCCCTCAAAGTTAACTCTAGAACTACACGCGTATACATAGCATCCGTATATTCAAATGTAGTTGCTTTTCTGCATGAGGAAGGAATTTATATGCAAAACTTCGAACATTCAGTCAGATGGCTTGTAGATGACTTATTTCGTGACTGATCAGTGCCTAAAATCCACAGGCTTTGGTGGCGTTACCTGTTGCCAACTTCTTGCTGAATTAGACCTGCAAGTCTTACAACAGTCTCCCATTTTCTTTTTCTGTTTGGTGTTTTTTTTTTTCTTTTTTTTTTTTTGGTTTGGTTTACAGTTCAGAATAAAGCCCCCATCTTCTGTTCATCACACCACATAAAAATAACTAAGTAACGTGTAGCTGGGGTGCTGCAGGCCTCCTGCAAGTAAAGCTGCCTGGCCAGAAAACGCTGTCAAACCTCCTTCACCATGTGGGACTGTCAAAAATCTTTGCAGAAAGCAGCTCATTAATCCTCATCATTTCCTCTCAAGAATGATAAAGGTACCCCTCCTAAAACAGAAGGAGTTGCCCTAATTGGCTCCAAAATCAGCAGCCAAAACACCTTCTGGAGGGAGGCATTATTGCCGGGTATCACAAGGAGGAGGAAAATAAGCAGCTCTAATGTGTCTGACACTCGTTGGAGGGGATAAAAAACCCACCTCGAGTGGCTCGGAGTGAGGGGTTGTGAGAAGAATAGAAACTTTTGCTGTGACTTGACTGTGAACTTTCTGTGATGTGGGGCACGTGCAGCTTTTCACTTTTTCTTCACGTTCTGGATCAATTCCTTCCTGTTTTGATCTAATACAGATATCATTATTTAAAATATGGCTGTAATAGATGTGAACGCCGTGTAACTAATCTTGACAACACACCTATAGCTTCAGTTCGTGCCAGGAATTAATTGGCTTTAACCCAATTGCTAAAACTCGCTTTTCAGCCTTTATTATAGTTACTCTCTAGTAATGTGTGGGTGGATTTGTTTGTAATTTAGCATAGGCTGTCCCTGGCATTGCACCATACCTCGTACCTAGTACAGAACTGCCTGTAACATCAACCCGGTGGAAAAAAAAAAAAGGGCAGGTGTGAGGGCAATTGCTTTATCATCCCTCCGGTTGGTGGTGGGGAGCTCGAATTGTTAAGCTAACGTCAGTGGGCAATAAAAACCCCTTGGCAAACCCTGCCAACATAAACTAAGGCAGGAACAGGATAAAACAGAAAATCCAACTTCTCTGATGCTCTGGCTTTGCATCGTAAGTGGCATTTCAGCGTGGCCTCAACCCGCCCGGAGACCTTGAACGACTCTGCCTCTGCCGCTAGTCCCCCGCCCCAGCTGCCCTGCAGCCCACGCTCCCCAGCAGCGCCCGCAAACAATTCCCGGGAGTAGTTTTCTTGGGAACACGGACTCTCCTGAAGGTACAGTTTAACTTTTTATACGTCCCTATCCGCATGCAGCGTTTGTTCCCGGTCTCTCCCCACCGACGGACCCCGCCGCGGTGGGCGGTCGCGCTGTGTCCCGTGTCCCCGTCCTCCCCTCCCCGCCGCTCTCCTCTCCCTGGTGCCAGCCCAGCGGCTGCGGCAGGCAGCAGGGAGCTCGCAGGCTCTCAAAAACTCATCTATAACCCTCGCGGATGGAGGAGAAAAACTATAATAAAGAACGGTGTTTCCTAAAAACAGCAAAATAACTTGGTTCCAAGATTATCATCATGGAGCTTTATTAGCTAACAGGAAAGGTGCTCGATGTACCCGTGACGTCAGGTAGCTGCAACACCCACACAAAGAACAGAAGGACTGATTAGCAAATTGGTGTCCGAATGCGCATTTGCGTTTCATGTCAGCGCTAAGGGGGTAGGTGAACAGCATCAAGTTGTAGGAGGCAGACTTAAAAAGCATTAATTACAGTTAGATTTGCATTACTTAAAAAATTATCCATGGTATATAAGGCAATTGCATCTTACAGAGCTGGAGTGCTAAGCTTGAGGGCCGCTGTGCAGATCACGGTCTGTTGGCTCAAGAAACCTGTGAGAAATGCTTTTCCTTCTTTGAGAGAAGCACGAAGACGGGGAAAATCATTTTTTTCCCGGGCTCCCCCCCCCCCCCTTCCCGGCCCCAATCGGTGCGTGCCCCCCGCCCCGGGGAGGTTCGGGTCACTCGCAAGCCCAAAGTTACGGGTTGTCAGAGCAGACGCAAACCGCTCCGGGGACGGAGCCGCTGTATTCAGCGACGCCATCCCGCCCTGTCCCCGGGGACGCGGAGGGATGCCCCGCTCCCGCACGGGGAGGCAGAGCCGCCCTCCGGACGGCGGCTGCGGCGGCCCCTG